TACCAGACAAATAGGACCCTAAACAAGAAAGGCATGTTTATTATACACTTTTATACCAGACAAATAGGACCCTAAACAAGAAAGGCATGTTTTATTATAACACTCTTATACCAGACAAATAGGATCCTAAACAAGAAAGGCATGTTTTATTATACACTTTTATACAAGTCAAACACAGGACTCTGAACACAAAAAGTACCTTTTATAATACACTTGTAAACTAGTCAAACGCACGACACTAAATATAAAAGGTATCTTTTATAATACAATGTATACTAATTAAACGCAGGACCTTAAAAAAGAAAGGTACCTTTATAATACACCTGTATACTAGTCAAACGCAGGATCCTAAACAAGAAAGGTACCGTTATAATACACCTGTATAATAGTCAAACGCAGGATCCTAAACAAGAAAGGTACTTTTATAAGACACCTGTATGTTAGTCAAACGTGAGACCCCTAAACAAGAAAGCTATTTTTATTTCACGCTTATATATCAGTCAAACTGGCCACCTCGAATATGAAAAGTACCTTTCGTCATACGCTTTTATATCAACCAAATTCAGGACCTCAAAAATGTAAGGTATCTTTTACCATATTTTTGTTTACCAGTCGAAAGCAGAGCTCTAAACAAGTGAAGTACCAATATTCATACAGTACCCTGAATAGTGGTATCATTCTCTTACGTACTACCTCTTTGGAAGTAAGGTGTCTTTTATCATAGTTTGACATGATAAGAATGCTGAGATATTTAGCTATTCTTGACAAATTATTTTGTCAGTCATACTTGGAATATGAGGAATATCTGGTGTTAGTGCAATCGATAATCTTTGGAATGTGTAGGACATTACACGAAATTTATATATATATATATATATATATGGTAAGTCTAGATACTGTTTGTGTTCTTAATTGGTTGTTACATTGTTATACATATATATATTTTGGTATTGGCTTAATATCAATGTGTAGTTATGTTAACGACAAAAACTCAATTTTGTTTTCATTTACCTACTAAGCTACACAATGCTGTCTGCATCATACCCATCGAAGATTCGAACCCCAAATTATAGCTCTATAATCCTTTAAAATTACCTCTGAGCCATCTGTGGGAGGGGAGATAAGAAACGAAAAACCTATTAAACAAAAACATGAAATAATATTAAGCTTCTTTCCTTGAGAATCGGAACCTGCTTCCTCCAAGTAGAACATTACTTCCTAATGTCAAAGGTTTTCGTTACATAAAAGGGCAGAGAAGACATCATTTATAAGACAACACATTTGGTAATCCATTGAGGATTGCATTATTTAAATTGCATGAAGAAAGGTGAAAGCTTGTCACAGTTTTTTTTTAATAGTAACGTAGCAAGTAATGTTTGGAATCTGAGAAACTGTCTCCAGTTCAAACAGGTTACTGAAAGATTATTAATAGCTCAAGCACTAGTTCTAAACCAAACACTGTATGTGGAAGTAGAAGGATGTAGGACTAAAACTTGTTACTTTTAAGTTAAGCCCGATCTTTCATCAAGCGCGTACAAAAGTACAGGACCTACTCGACAGCTTTTTTAAACAAGAAATTCAACAAATTACGAAATGTATGGCAGCTTTGATAAAATTACACCAGAGAGTTAGATTTACCTCTTTTTATTAATAAAAATGCCCCCCTCGATGTTCAGTGGTAATCTGGAGGCCTTATAATGCTAAAATTTGGTGTTTGGTTCCTACGAGGGACATAGCAAAAATTGTCTCACTGTGCAGCTTTGTGCTTAACAACAAATACATCTTCTGAAAAATATTAAACAGTAGTGAACTGCATATATTTAAAGTCGCTTATTATTTCACTTCAAAAACTGTAACTGGGAGTTATTTTTGTTCCTTCCAAACGAAAAGTTAAAACTATTCTTTGCCATATATAAAAAGTTGAAGAGTAGTTATTCATTCAATAGACAGATTTTTTTCCTTCTAAGGAGGATTATAAAAATGATCCCTTTTATCAGGAAAGTTATTCAATTCCTTTAAATGGCCTAAGTATAGCCTCCCCCTCCCTCTCTCGTCATCTAAGCAAATCTATGTTTTTGAGAAATCTAAGAGATGTTTTTGTCCCCGCTTTCATCTGATGGAACATTCGTTGTTTCTTGAAGAGTTAAATATATATTAGTTGAAATCATCCGTCAACTCAAAAAATATTCGTTTTTGGAGAGTATAGCTCCTCTTATTAGACTGCTTATATTCATCATTCCAAAGAGGAGGATAAGGACATTAGAGGATTCCTGCTCACTTGGATGATTTTTTTGTTCTAACTATGATTAAAAAAGCGTACTAAACATTACATTGTCAAGTGACTTTTTTCATTTATCTTAAGGAGGCTGAGAAGCCTTTGCATCTATTTCCAGCATCAAAATGTTTTACAACCTTTTGAAAGTTGAGAGTATAGAATCAATATATATCGAGTTTTATTACCTGACTTTCCCTTTAATGGCTCAGCATGGCCAGGTGGTTAGGGCGCTCGACTCGCAATCTGTGGGTCGCGGGTTCGAATCTCTATCACACTAAACATGCTCGCCCATTCAGCAGTGGGGACGTTATAACGTGACGGTCAATCCCACTATTTTTAGGTAAAAGAGTAGCCCAAGAGTTGGCGGTGGGTGGTGATGACTAGCTGCCTTCTCTCTAGTCTTACACTGCTAAATTAGGGACGGCTAGCGCAGATAGCCCTCGTGTAGCTTTGCACGAAATCCATAACAAACAAACAAACATTCCCTTTAAGAAAAAGCTAAAAATATAACAGTATGTTAAGCTCATTTAGGTTACTATTATTGTTTTACGAACCAGAAACATTGACACTTACCTGTCCATGGATATTGCTAATCATCTGAACTATGGCCACCCCTAAATTACACCGAATACCAAAGCTAATAAGAAACCCTACAGAACTTAAGAGAGCTATGGTGTAACGTTTGGACAAGTTAGGACAACAAGGACAGTTAGGCTCTAACAATCTCCGCCACACTTTCTTCTCCTTTTCTTCCTGTTCCTTTTGTAGGTTTTCACCTCCTACTTGCTCTTGAAGCTCGTCTTCTTGAAGTAAGCCCCAAATGTCCTCTCTTTGTTTCCTCTGTATGCTTCGGATAGGAAAAAAATAATAATATACAGACTTTCAAAACCTGTGCTAGCTTTAAAATATTTTATACAGTTATTATTCTTATTCTACGATTTACTAGTTTCATATGTTTGCATTATTCGTGGTTCTGATTCTGAATTAATCACATCTGTGCAGAATCCACAGCCAGTTACAAGAAAAATGATATTAGTAGTGTACGTCACAGAAGCGCGCTTGATAAAAATGAAGAAGGTAGGTAATGGAACAAAAAGCAGTTAACATATCGTTGCTATACAACGTTTTCGAATTACATGCAATTTGAAGAAAAGAGGCAAGACAATGACGTAAGCCCAGATCTAGCCCAAATAAGATCATATTTATTTTATCATTCTAATGGTATAATGTTGATTGGAGCATAACAGTTATACCTCAGATAACCCAAAATGACTTTATAGTGATCTTATTACTACAGCGAATGTTTATTTCGGTGCCCAGCGTTTCGCTTAATGCCATCTTCAGGGGAAGGCAGGAACGTCGAGAGCCAGCACGGGCCCCCTTTCTCTCTTTTTTTTTAACATTTTCAAGAATTTATTAAAAAGAAGATCCTAAATGAGAACAGCAACGAGATCATAAACCAGACAAAATCATAGCAGCAGCCATCAGTATAAGCGTAAAAACGTTAATAAAGTAACAACAAATATCTATTAAATCTATAAAGTAACAACAAATATCTATTAAATCTATAAAGTAACAAATACATATTAATTATTACTAAATTATTATTTCAGTCGTTCTTAGTGTATCAAACGTCTGTATGCAAAGAAAAGCAGAAAAACTATGGTTTTTATCATTAAATGAAGATATAGCCTAAAGATGCATTGCGGGCTTTACGGCATAACCAGGTTTCATTCGCCCGGGCCCCTGGGCAGTTACCCCCTTTGCCCCCCTGTCGGCGGCCTTGGGGCAGGGCTGTACAAAGCAAATGTGAGTTTTTACTTATTGAAAATTGCAAAACACGTGTTTGTAAGTTAAAACTCTTCAGATAAATAAGTTGGAATACTGTTCACATAGCATCATATTTCATACATGTTTAAACGCATTTTGTTGTACCACGATTTGTTAATTAGTTCAAGATTCTCGGTTGTTCTATGGATTAAGATAAGAGATTTAAAATGTTTTATTACTCAAAATACTTTATTATAGTCTTTAGTCATTAAAAAAAGCATATATAATTAGACACCCACGGCTATCGTTAAGCTTCGCTTTAAACAAAATAGATGTTAGTTTCTAAAGTCATAAAGCTAATAACTACTGAAGGCGTAATCATAAGGAGAAATTAAGTTTTTTTAACTACCCAGCACCAATTACAGCAGTAAAATACATCATAATTTGCGTAAGTTTTTATAGCGATTTTAATCAGAGCTGACATAAATTTTACAAAATATTCAATCGCAGTTTATGTAATTTTCACAGTAAATTTATTCACAGATTAAGTAGGTTTTCAGTACATTAATTTACATGTTACATAGGTTTTACAGTAGTTTAATTCACAGCTTACATAGATTGTACAGTAGATTCATTCGTAGATTATTTAGGCTACACAGTAGCCTAACTTACTTAGGTTTTACAGTAGATTAATTTTCAGGTTACATAGGTTTTACAGTAGTTTAATTCACAGTTTACATAGATTGTACAGTAGATTCATTCATAGATTATTTAGGCTACACAGTAGCCTAACTTACTTAGGTTTATTTGTTTTTTTTGTTTTTTTAATTATGCACAAAGCTACACAAGGGCTATCTGTGCTCTGCCCACCACGGGTATCGAAACCCGGTTTCTAGCGTTGTAAGTCCGCAGACATACCGCTGTGCCACTGGGGGGCTACTTAGGTTTAACAGTAGATTCTTTACACAATGGTGAAAATAGTCAAACCACTATAAAAGGTGTTATAATATATTAAGACTGCAAAAATGAAGTTGTTATAAAAGTACTAAGTCAATCAGTCTTCACTAAACACTGTATGTGGTCGTTACAGTTTTATCCTATCAGACACTGCAAACTTGTGTAGAAGTAAATATACATGTTTAGAAAGTTAAGAAGATGCTTGGCCACAGTAAGAAATAAACAGCAAAATAAGTTTCAAAATCTCATAGGGTTCACGCATATCCCTATCACTAATTTTAGGACTAGGGCGAGTAAAAGTATAAGAAGTTTTGCGGAATATCGACGCAAAACTTCAAAATATATTATTTCAGTGATAAAAGAAAAGTAAAATTGATACGAAGCTCACTGCAGTATAAGTCAGGTTTCCTTCCACATTATTACGATAGTTATTGTTCACCCTTTAATTATTGCTTGATTGTAATTTCTTTCTGTGTCCATTACACGCTATTGTGCTTTCAAAACCAAACTGTCTACCTGAACAGAAACTAGAGGCCGTATGAAACTTTAGTAAATCAGGTGTGCTTCCTATAGCCACAGCACTGTGAAGAGGTGCAACACAGAGAACACAGTTCTGTTAGACGTGCAAACGAGTTTTCGTTCCTTGACAACTTTGAGAAGAAAATAGGACCACACGAAGGTGAAAACGTGTAATTCATGTAAATTGATTAAACAGACAAGATAAGCCACGTGTATGGTATTTACTATCAAAACAGTGGTTGAAAACAAGTGTTCCCAAACTTTCAAGCCAGAGGTTTCCCAAGACTTTAGACCTTACCTTGGCTGTAGACTCCACCTGATCATTTTATATAATTTATATAACTGCCACACTTAGATACCATATTTTCATTGCAATATGTTTTTTCAACTCCAACATTGCTGTGTAGTCGTATTCATTGCAATAAGTAAAATAATCGCTGAAGGTATTGATTTTTTTTCCAGTATCAAGGAAATTTTAAAGAGAATATTTCTGCATATCTTGAAGTCCCTGAAAACCGTTTCTAGGACCTTTTTGAATTAGCAATTTGTATTTCTGCATATGTTGAGGTCCCTGAAAACCGTTTTTAGGACCTTTTTGAATTAGCAATTTGTATTTCTGCATATGTTGAGGTCCCTGAAAACCGTTTCTAGGACCTTTTTGAATTAGCAATTTGTATTTCTGCATATGTTGAGGTCCCTGAAAACCGTTTCTAGGACCTTTTTGAATTAGCAATTTGGGAATCACCGGCTTAAAACAAAGCAGCTTATTTGAACTTATGCCAAAGAAAGAGTTTACGATATTTTGATATATTGAACTATTATTGTAACAATTTTATTAATAGAAACAAGAAACGACTGTTTGATTATATTGTAACATACTACTATTCACTTGTAGGCCTAACTTACTTACAGACTTGCTTGTAGGATTCCTTGGCTAATTGATCGCTAAACAAACACGCTAATAACTAATTCTCTGTTAATTAAACTGCAGACAAATAGATGCAATAACTTTCACTACTAAAACAAATCACTCATTGATAACTCAGTAATTGTCTATCATTCTTAAAACGCCCACCGTTTAAAGTGTGGAAATATTTTGTACTATCGCAAGGATTCGAACCTAGATCACCAGTTCCAAAATTCAGTGGTCTATCACATAGCAAACCCAATTTTACCGGTAAAACTTGATATTGTACTGGTATGTTTTGAAACAAAGTAAAAACAACTATATGAATATGTTGTGTTTGTGAAGTGAGATGATCAGAAATAAATGTTAATATCAAATAACTATATATATATAATCGCTAAAGTTCAAACATATGTAAAATATGGTAATAAGCTGTTTTACGGATGGATTTCTGACGTCTATAAACATTGAAAGCTGAGATTCTGTAACATTTACATAAAGGAAACGTGCTCTGCTCCCTCTCGTTTTTCTTTTTGTTTTTTACTAGTTCCTTTTGTAATCGGAGTTACCACGACATCTAGGTTGAAAAAGTACAGTTCAATTATTGAAGTGTTTTATTCATGCCCTTCTTCTCTATCTGGTTTATTATTAAGTTCTCTGGATACATTTGAGTCTCCCTGAGGTGCTTTCAACAAAGTCATTGTGCATACCGACATAAAGATGGCGCTAAGATAAAGGCAGGCGCTCGACTGAAAAGAAAGCTCATTACGTAGATTAGCGACAGTGGGTCGTCCTATTCTCATGGTGTGACTTGATAGGCTAGAATGTTAGACAGCCTATTTTTTCCCCCATTTTACGCGATTTTTTTATATTGATAAAGCAGGAATAAGGAAAAAAGTTGTGATGGTTTTTCACGCGAGAAATGATTATAAAACGCTGCAAGATCATTAAAAATCTTTGACTTTGCGATGTCTTAATAGGTTAGGTGGTAAGTTTCAGAACAAAGCTATAGGTTAAAACCCATCATGATAGTGACCCAAGTCAGTCACATGGTAAATGTAAGAAAAAACTTCACAGTAACATTATTATTGGCAGAATTACTGGTAAATCACAGTTTTCTTAACTTTACACCTTTTTCTTTTTTCAGCAACAAAAATAGTTGCCGAGTTTTAAGGGCTCTTGTCACGTGACTCTGCAGTGAAAAAGAAAGAACGATAAATTGGTGGAGGATCTCTGATAATATGGCACGCAATATCCTTTAAACTTCTGAAGCGTTTGATGTAAAAACCATGGAAATGATTAAAGTTATTACTACGACCTGTAAATGAGGTCAATATAAAAAAAACCTAAAGAGATATTATAGTAAAGTGTTCTGGAAGGCTTACCTTGGTTATTTTTTTTTGAATTCATAGTTCATTATAAAAAACACTTAACTAGTTATTATTGTAGAAATAGCGGTGACTAACCACACGTGTCACGAGCTAGCATTTTAGTTACTATCATAAACACTACTATTACTACTTCTCAAAACCATTTCTCGAAAAAAAAAATGTTAAATGATGTTGTTGTGTTTTTACAGTACAAAAACCAAAAAAATTATTTAAAAGGCTACACTTGTATGAAAAGTGCAGCGTTTCGTTCAACATCTCAAGTTTTCATAAACACAAGACTTCCATGCCTTACACTGTTCCATA